TGGGAATAAACTTTAAGGGCTGTGTGCTACACTCTCAAGTAGATTCTAGACAATAAGGTTGACTCCCAACTCCACCATGTCAATAATAATAACTAACACTTATTGAGCACATGTAATGTGCCAGACACTCTTCTAAGTGTTTTATATTTATTCATTCATTTAATTCTCACAAACTAATGAGATACACGCTGTTAAGAGTCCCAATTTATGGATATTAAGTCCACTGAGGTACAGATAAGTAATTTGCTCATGATTGCATAGCTTCCAGGTAGAGGGCCTCAGTTTAAATTATAGCAGTCTGTCTTCAGAGACCAAACTAATACATACTGTACTCTATTGCTTCTCTGGTTGTATTTGTGGTTACAGATGTACTTCCTGCCTTGTTATGATTGGCTGAGGAACTAGATGGGACTGAGCTTCAGTGGGTTTTCACAGGAGAGTAGGCAGCACCTGACAAACCTGTAACATTGGGACCAGAATCTAGTTTCCCAGTCTTAGAGCATTGTATGGGCAATAGGACATTTTGAGCAAACAATGGCATGGATTGGTCTATTCATAAGATTAATTTGGCAATGATACTCAGCATGTTTGAGAGTGGAAAACATCCAGAGGCAGAGAGATCAGTTAAGCTTTTTCACTTTTCCTGGCATGATTATAAGGGAGCCTGATTCACAGGAAAGGAATTGGCTGTGAAGAAATGCAGTGGAAATTTGAAGTAGAGCTGTCACTTTTAATCCTGGTTCTGTTACTTAATAAATTTATTACTTCAGCATTGTTAGGCCTCGGATTTTTCTCATCTACAAGATGGGGGCAGCTGGCCAATCTCTTGGGAATCAAGTCTAATTCTAATACATTGTGATATTTCTTTTTCTTTTTTTATTTTTTTTTAAATTTTTTTTTAAAGATTTTATTTATTGATTTGACAGAGATCACAAGTAGACAGAGAGGCAGGCAGAGAGAGAGAGAGAGAGGGAAGCAGGCTCCCTGCTGAGCAGAGAGCCCGATGCGGGACTCGATCCCAGGACGCGGAGATCATGACCTGAGCTGAAGGCAGCGGCTTAACCCACTGAGCCACCCAGGCGCCCCTATTGTGATATTTCTGAATTGAATTGCTGATTGATTGAAATAAATAGTAATACAAATGGGGGGGTAAAGCTCTGGATGATGACGCTGGGGTTCTCTGTTGAGAAGTGATGGTTGGAATTTTTCCTTAAGGGTGAGAATAATAAGACTGAGCCGCTCTGACTGGTAAATATTTCTTTTAAATGTTCTTTTTCCAGTTGGTACTTATATTCTATTGGTTTTACCTTGTTAATCATCTCCCTAAACCTTCCTCTTCTCCACTGACACTACTTCTACTTTGCTTAAGACAGTCATTAACTATCTCTTCTCTGGGCTTCCTGAGTGGAGCTTACCCTCTTCTAATACTCCCCTTGGTCTTTCAGATGCACATCATCATACTTTCCTGTTAACTTAGCACAAACACTATATCCTGGCAATCAAGATCTTTCCTGAAGTTGCCCTTGCTATCTCTTCAATTGCATATTTGACTACTCTCCTTTGTTCCTACATTACAGTCCTATGAGACCACTCAGGTTCTCATAACACTGTTGTCTTGTTTCATAATTCTTTGCTTTTGCTCTGCCTTGAATCTCCTTCCCTTGCTTTGCTAACTCCTGCTCTTCCTGCAAAACCAAGTTTACTACAGTGTATTCACTGCTTCCTTGCATCTTTCCCTTTTGTAGTGGCTCAGTCCTTTGAACAGCCATTCCATCGTATAGATGTTTCTCTCGCTGCCTTTTTTTTTTGAAACACTTTTCACAATTCCATAAGCATTTGCTTCAACATGTTTCCTTGATGATGAACTCCTTGATAGGAGGGACTGTGTCTTAACTTTGGACTAGAACTCTTAGCACAGTACCTGATGTATGTGCAACCCAGCAAGTGCTTAGCTCAGTTACCCTTTCCATGTATCTATTAACACCTCTCAGAACAAATGATCAGAAATGGCACACTAGATGTTTTACTATAATTTAGTAGTTTGCAGAGAGAGAGGAAGGGAAGCAGACTCCCTGCTTAGCAGAGAGCCCGATGGGGGCTAGATCCCAGGACTCTGGGATCATGACCTGAACTGAAGGCAGAGGCTTTAACCCACTGAGCCACCCAGGCGTCCATAGTCTTGAATATCTTAAGTAGAAGATCTTGAGTGATTGGCTTTCCTACTGGCTTATGCAACTTTTCAGCTTTTTTAGTATGCTTACAAATATTCTTAAATTGAAGATTACATTTTAAAAATCAACACTGAATTTTGGGGCTTTTAAATGTTATTAGAAGGACAGAATATGGCCTGGCTAAAATGAATCTGAATGACTTTCCCTTTATAGCTTTTCCCTTTACCCCATGGTATGTGTATCATGTGAATGAAACCTCACAAGAAACCTCAGAATAACACACTAATGGAGTTAACCCAGAATTATTTTACATGTAGCCTTGGATTAGTTATGTGACTGCAGAAAAATGCAAGAAAGAGTGTTTATATTAAACTTTACAGGGAAAGGATTGTCCTTTATCAGAAAGATCTGTTTCAGTGGGTTCAAATACAGAAGAAAAGTAATTTACTTGCAATCTTGATCTGTAATCATTTTGAAATTGATCACCAATCTTTCTGTTCTCTTTACACTGAAATTTTAGTGTTTGTTTTAAATGTTTTACTACATTTTTCTATTAAAAAATTATTGCAACATTTACAGGTGAAAAGTATAATTATCTAATAGCAGGTCTTTAGCTCAGAACTTTGAGCTTAGCAAATTTCACTGTCTTCTACCAAGCAATTGAATATCTTAAATGATGACTATTTCAGCAGGTATCTTTAATGAGTAAGAATTACAGGTAAGAACACTTTTTTCTTTTCTAATAGTGTTAATGATATGTTAGTAGTTGTGTTAAAATTTGTTCATATTTTTGTTTTAATTTGTTAATCCTAAAATATGCTTTTGTAGTTACAAAAATGTAGTGTACATTTTAGTGATGAATTTTTAACTCTGAATTTTTTTCTCAGTGAAATTTTATATAGTGTACTTTTTGAATTTTTAAAATATTTGTTTACTTAAATATTTCACTGGTTATTATAATTCTGTTCCACAAATAGAATACCGGTGTGGTTAAAGCCCCAAAATAAGATTGGTATCATAGTCCTCTTAGTGCTAATTATTTCAATAACTTTTTTTGTTCTCATCTACCAGTTTCTTAAAGATGAAGAGTAATAAAAAAAAAAAAACCTCTGTCACTAACCTGTTTTGCAGAGATAGTGAGAGGCCTTAGTTTCTCTAATTGAAATACCAGCAGTAATATTAACACATGCTTAATAGCTTTCATTTTAATTGTTGCTTAAAATCAGTTTATTGGAATAGCCATATGTGAAAAATGATTAGCATGGTAATGTTTCTTTTATAAGAATGTAAGGTTGATCTTTGATAATATTTTCAACCATAAACTTGACAGGGAAATTCTCTTATAAAATATTTTTAAACTTCTTTTTGACCAGTTTGTTTCAGTTTTTCAAATTGAGTTAAAAATTTTTAACTACTTCGAAATAAAAATCAGTTGTAATATACAAATTTATTTCAAAACTTCATTTCTCCAATGTCTACTTTTTGTTTCTTTACACTAATTCTTCATGTTTTCATATGACTTAATACATGTTATTCGTAAGACTATCATTTTCCTGTATAAATCACTAAAGACTAATGTGAAATTTCATCTTTATGAATATTGTTCACAATTAAACATTTAAAAGAATTACAAAATCTTTAATCTCCAAAATGATTGACATTTATGAATTTTGTATTTCTGCAAGTTTTATTCATCTAAATTTGTTTAGTAAGTTAGTTGTAAATTACTATAATTCATTACCAATATAATAAAAGAATGAAAAATGATACACTCTATTTTAAATTGTTTATAATTTCATGTAATAACTAAAATATAGATAAGTAATTTTACACAAATTATTATTAATATCTAATAAGGCATTAGAATCTATAGACCTGTTTTTTTCAGTGTGCCCTCAGAGAATGGATAAAGATGATTATCAACTCCGTATTTCAACTAACCATGAGAGTAGCTTTTAGGGTAGTTGATGTTTCTATCCTACTTTAGGTCTTCATTTTTGTACATGAAATTTAAGTCAGTATAGTTGTTACTTATATTAAATATATTTATCTTTAAGTATAGTTCTAAGCCTTCATAAAGTAACGAATCATTTAACTATTAATGGCATTTCAGATCAGGTAGGCACTTGACTTATGTAGTTTAAAATTGAGTTTAATATAATCAGTAGATAGTATTTCATTATCAGCAGTTTCTAAAAGATCTTTTGAGAAAGATAGGTTTTATATTAGATTATTTTAGAGATGGCATATGCCTTTCTTAATGTAGTAAGTTACAATTTTTCTATTTTTAGAAACCAGGTTTAGAAAAATTGTAGTTAATATTTGAGCTATGCTTATGAAGGTTAAGAGACTATATCTTTCAGAATTATAAATTATTTCTGTGATTTTGCTACCTTAATTGTAATAAATATCAAAATAGCATTATATTGAATTTCACAATAGATAAAATTTCTCTTCTCTCACTTTTTAAGCCCTATAATAGTAAATATTTATGTGTATTATATATATTAAGCATACAACCTGCTTTTATTTTTTAAAGAATATTCTTTTTGAAATGATTTTACTAATATATTATGTCTTTTATTTATAATTGTATTTCTTAAGTGCTCTTGTTTTTAGAAAAGAAGGAAATACATGCCTGTATTGATTTCTTTAGCACGTTTATTGAATCTACTGTTTATTTTTCCCTTAATATTTATAAAGGTCATTTACAAATCTACATTAGTTTAAATTCACATCATAATTATTTTAAGCATGCAGAAAAGAACTGTTGTATATTTTCCATTGTAAATATAAAATAAAGTATTCAATACTTATTTTGTTTTCAAGATTAAAAAATGAAGCTCCCACTAAGGAACAAGAACCTGTGTCTGAGGTAAATTTTGTTTTACCTGTACCTTAAAGGCTTGAATATGTGAAAATATTACTGGTTTAATTTTTAAAACGTTTCAATTCATTGTGCATAATAACAATTATTGGCGTGTTATCAGGAAAAAAATAAGATTTATTTTTTGTTGTCATTAGATATAAAAATATCTAACCTTAAGCAAAATTCTAAGGTGTTTCTGTTTTTATAAAAGCATCATATATTTCACTTATCTGTTTTCTAGTTCAACTAGTGAGTTAATGGAGATAAGTTTATTATTTAAAAACCTGAAATCAATAAAATGTCAAATAGTTTACACATTGGAAAATTAATCTTTCCAGATGATTTTATTTTCTGGGCTGCCAGGAAAATTTAATACTTAAAATAGAAATATTTCAAGGGTACCACGTGGCTCTGTTGGTTAAGATCTGACTCTTGGTTTCTGCTCAAGTCACAATCTCGTTAGTCATGAAATTGAGCCCCTTGTAGAGTTCCTTGCTCAGCAGGGAGTCTGCTTGAGATTCTCTCTGTCTGCCCCTCCCCCCACTGCACTCTTTCTCTCTTTAAAATAAATAAATCTTGTTTAAAAAATATTTTGAATATATATTAAATGTGTTCTTACTGTCTTAAACAGGCACTCTGAATAAAATACTTGGGGTTATCCTATAAATGTTATTTACTGGGCAATCTAATGGTGTATGTAGAAATAGTTTTTTGTTTGTTTGTTTTTTGGGGTTTTTTTTGTAGAAATATTTTTGTTCAAGTACATGTTTTCTCGATGTCAGTTTTTTTAATACTACAAAATATTCCATATCTCTGAGTATGCTCAGAGATGCATGAGGCAGGTTTTGCATTTATCTTTTGAACAGCATTTCCATACTGAACAGTGAATAAGTGAAACCTAGCAGAACTTAGCCACTTTCTTCCAAGCAGCTTTCTTCTATACCATAAAAAGTTTTCTTTTGTTTGAAAGGTTTTTAACTACAAATAAGTTTAATAGATACGGGATTTTTTGGTTATATGATTATTCTTTTTTTTTAAGGTTTTATTTATTTATTTGAGAGAGAATAAGAGCATGAGCAGGGGGAGAAGGAGGGTAGAAGGCCTGGGGAAGCAGATTCCCTGCTGAGCAGAGAGCCCGACCCAGGACTTGATGCATGCCTCATTCCAGGACCCTGGGATCATGACCTCTGCCAAAGGAAGACACTTAACTGACTGAGCCACCCAGGTGCCCCAGTTATGTGATTATTTTTGAATGGATTTTGGTAGTTTGTGGTTTTTAATATTGAATTTATCTATATAGACTTGTTTGTACTATTCCATTAATCTTTTAATGTCTTAAGGTCTGCAGTGATAATTCTCTCATTCATTCCTGATGTTAATAGTTTGTGGGTTCTTTTTTCCTGTGGTTGTCATATGTTTTATTTTTACATAGGTTATAAAGACAGAATACAGTGTTACTGTTTTTGCTTTAGATAGTTATTTTTTAGAGCAGTTAAAAACTTGAAAAAATAATTTTATATTCAACTTTCTCTTTACCATGTCCAGTGCTCTTTATTTCCTTGTTAGCTCTCCCATTTCTAATTCCACATTCCTTTTGCCTTAACAACTTCCTTTGATATATCTTATGTTGCAGATCTACTGATAATTAATTCTTCTATGCCTTTTTCATTTAAAAATATATTTTTCATTTTTGAAAGATATTTTTTGGTGAATATGGAATTTTGGGTTGACAGTTTTATTTTCCTTCAGCGGTTTAAAGAAGTCATTTTGTTTTCTCTTGGTTTGCATATTTTCTGACAAAATGTCTTACTGTAATTTTGATCTTTGTTTCCTATATGTATATAATGTGTTGAATTTTTTGGTTCCCCTCAAGATTTTATCTATAGTTCTCATCAGTTTGAGCAAGATGTGTCTAAGTCTGGTTTGTTCATATGTTTACCTATATGTTTATCTATTTATTTATTTGGGGTGCTTATCCTGATTGGTGTTCTTCGAGCTGTCCCATATCTTCTACTTCTGGGATTCCAATTTCCTAAATACTATACCATTTGATGTTAACCCCTATTCTTAGATGCCTTGTTTTAGTATCCACCGTATCCTCCATGTACTTTTTTTGTGTTTTATGTTGGGTAATTTCTGTCTGTTGACCTATCTTCAGTTTCACTGATTCATTTTTTCATTTGTGTCACATCTGCTGATGAGCCCATCAGAGGCATTTTTCATCCCTGTCATTGTGGTTGTTTTTTTCCCCTAGCATTTCCATTGATTCTTACAGTTTCTGACCCTCTGCTAAAATTACCATTCTGGTCATGCATGTTGTCCTCCTTTTTTCACCAAAACATTTAACATATTAATAATAGTAATTTAAAATTTTCTGTCTGATACTTCCAGTAGTGGAGTCATATCTGAGTCTGATTCTGCTGATTGCTTTGTCTCCTGACAGTTCATTTCCCCCCTTGCGTTTTTGTTATACAATGTTTGGTTGAAAGCAAGAAATTATATGGAAGACTGAGATAAATAGTATTTGTATCTGAAAAGTGGACATACCATTTCTTACGTTAGGTCATTACTATGGGATTTGATTTCACCTAGTGAGTTGATCTGAGTTTTGGCTTTCTTGTTGCTATAGTTACCCTTGGTATACTACCAGGTTCAATTCCTGTAGTATTTCTTTGTGCTGAGGGTGGGAGTTATGTTACTGGAGGATTTTTCCCTCAGGATTCTCGTTTCATACTCAGCTTTAGCTCTTCCTGTGAGACTGAGGCTTAAAGGGTGTCTTTCTCTATAAATATACCCTTGCCTTTCTTCCATCAGTACTGTTGTTCCTTGTTATTTGGTGTTTGTTAGCCTGGAGGTGGGTGGTGGGGAGTGGGTGGTGGGGAGTGAGTGGGAACTGGTGTAGCCTCACTCTTAAGCTGGTTCTGTGTTTTGGGTCTTGAGAGTAGGATTTTTTCCTTCTATCCCCTAGTCAGTCAGTTCCTGTGCCCTAGGGGCAATAGGGTTTGCTTCTCTTCTTTCCAAATATGTAAAGGCTTAAACATTAAGAAAATCTATGAATCCATAATTTCATCATATCATCTATTGATTCTTTCCTGATATATTCATATTTGATTAGAATAAATCATCAAACTCTTACTTTTCTTTGATTGTCCTGTTTCATCTGTGTCAAATGAAGCTGCCTTTCATACAAAAACCAAATTTCTTAAGCTTATTTTTTGTTAAAAGAAAAAAAACTTTACACTAAAAATTTAGCAAGCCATAAGTAATTAAAGGAATGCCTTATTGAATGGAAGGCACGTAGACCAATCTTGGTCCAGGTGTTTCTTTCAAGAATATATGTGATGTGGATAGTTCTTTGAATAGATGTAGGTACTTATTTTAGGTACACCTCTGATAGGATGGATAGCTTGAGTTAGTCTTCCAAGATTTTGATCAGATGCAGTGTACTGGAATTGTTAGCATGCCCAGGTAAGATTTTCCTGGTATCACTTTTTTTCGTTTCTATAGTTTTACATTTTCTCTTAAAATTAATTCCTTTCATATACTGTTGGAATCCATATGATTTAGTGGCTTCTAACATAGCTTCTTTTCTGCTGCTTGTGTATTCTATATACTGCAACAATCTGTTGCTGCTGTTCCCTAACTAAATATATACCATGGATCTTCCCCTCCAGTTTCAGGGTTAGTGGAATTTCCTTATAACACAGGTAGGGATAACAGAAAGGAGTCAGGTACAGATGCCTTTCTTTCTTTCTTTTTTTCTTTTTAACTTTTAATTTAAATTCCAGTTAACATACAGTGCATTATTAGTTTCAGGTGTATAAGATAGTGATTCAAGATGTCCATATAACATCCAGGGCTCATCACAGCAAGTACACTCCCTAATCCCCATCACCTAATTTACCCATCCCTCCACCCACTTCCACTCTGATAACCATCACTTTGTTCTTTCTCATTAAGAATCTATTTCTTGGTTTGATTCCCTCTTGTTCCCCCACCTTTGGTCATTTCTTTTGTTGACTAAATTCTACATATGAGTGAAATCATATGGTGTTTGTCTTTCTTGGACAAGAAAGTATTGCTTAGCATAATACTCTCTAGCTCCATCCATATTGTTGTAAATGGCAAGATTTCATTATTTTTCATGGCTTTTTTCATATTTCCATTGATCTTTATGTCTGTTTTTGTACCGGTACCATACTGTTTTGATAACTACAGCTTGTAATATAACTTGAAGTCCAGAATTATGATGCCTCCAGCTTTGCTTCTTTTTTAAAAGATAGCTTTGGCTGTTCGGGGTCTTTCATGGTTCCATGCAAATTTTAGGATTGTTTGTTCTAGCTCTCTGAAAAATGCTCTCAGTATTTTGGTAGGGATTGCATTAATGTGTAGATTGCTTTGGGTAGTATAGACATTTTAAAAACATTTGTTCTAATCCATAAGTGGCATGTCTTTCCATTTCTTTGTGTCATCATCAGGTTCTTTCATTGGTGTTTTATAGTTTTCAGAGTACAGATGTTTTACCTCTTTGGTTAGGTTTATCCCTAGATATGTTACTATATTTGGTGCAGTTGTAAGTGGGATTCATTACTTGTTTTGTCATTATTTCTGGAGATTTTCTCTGATCATTTTTTGCCTTTGTCATTTTTGGTCTTTCCCTTCCACTCAAAGAGTCGCCATTAGTATGTCTTATGGGGCTGGATTAGTGGTCACGATCTCCTGTAGTTTTTGTTTGTCTTGGACTCTCTTTATTTCTGTTTCTATTTTGAATGATAGCCTTGCTGGATAGAGTATTCCTGGCTGCAGATTTTTTGCATTCAGCACTTTGAGTGTATCATGTCACTTCCTTCTGTCTTGCCAAGTTTCTGTTGAGAAATCTTCAGCTAGCCTTGTGGGTCTTCCTTTTGTAAGTTAAGGACTTTTGTCTTGCTGCTTTTAAGATTTATTTTTCTTTATCACCATATTTGCAGATTTGATTACAGTATGTCTTGGTGTTAGCCTGCTTT